AGTAAAAGCATTTTTTATCAGCGAAGAAGAGAAGTATTTAACCCTTAGATTTTCATTATTTGCTATATCTCCCGCCTCTGTAAGGTATCTGGAGATATGTTCTATGGTAGATTCGCTAGTGTCGCCAGAAAACTTGGTGAATTTAGGTACTTTCCATCCCCTTGGCAATTCAGTTTGTTGAATATATTCTGACAAAGGGGATGTATAATTTGGTCTACACATGCCTAAGTTTACCTCATTTCGTACCATAATCCTTTCGACTAAGGCTGCTAGGTTATTGTTTCCCACCATATCATTCTGTCGACAACCCTAAAGGATTTCATCAGCATCTTGGTTTCGATTCACCAAAACTACCCTTCTCCCTGGTTCCTCCCTAGGGATAGCCTGTTGGGGTATGGGTGGTTCCTCCCTTCAAATTGGTTGTTTGACTTCGACTTCAGGGTGAATCAAAGGTTGGGCCTGGTTTATGGTTGGCTCTTCTTGGAATATGATGTCTTGATTCTCCCTTACCCATGTGGGTTGTGGGGGTGGCTGTCGAACTGCTTCTCTGGGTTCACCAAAGAAATCTGCAAGACGCCCTATTTGCACTGCCATCTGTTGGTTTGCTTGGGTATTGTGCAAGTTAGTTTATGTAGTGCTTTGAATTAAAGGGTTGAAAATCGTACCCATCTGTTGGGCTAATACGCCCAACATCTCGTGGTTGCTATCATCCATTTGTTGCCTTATAACTGCTTGTGTATTTGTGGTGATAGCAGGTATTTGGGTTGGCTGCGAATTGTTTCTAGCCATATGGTTTATCCCAGACCCTGATCCTTGCAATGGTGATAAAGTAGATGTTACGGGACGGGTGTATGTCGACATATTATTTTGAAATCCCGTCATGAACGAAGTTGGCATGCCATATATAGGATCTGATGTTGGGATTGTAAATCCTGGTGGAAAAGTTCTAGACATACCTATCGAAGGCCTGGGTGTTGATGGTGGATTTTTATTGGCCATAGACACGATGGTATGTTCGTTATGGTGGTTTGACGAAATAGTTGAAGCATTTGTATTTTGGGGTATAACCGCAACGCTTGATGTCGAAGGGATCGTTGTCGTCCCTTGACTTTCCATCATCACTTCGTTTGTATTCGAGGCGTTGGTATTTCCTCCCACAAGAGGGTGAACTTGTTACGCATCACTAGTGGGTGAGTTAGCCATTCCCCTAATGTGTTTCCCTTTTGGTCTAGGATTTGTATTGTTGGCTAGTTTTCCACTTCTCAATCTCATGCAATAAACAAGTTAAAAGCAAGATGGATAAAGACACAGGTCCCACCGGGTGTGCCAATTTGTTTACCCTCAAATTTTGGTAAACAACCGCTAATCTTCTAAATCCTTTCACAGATCCAGTTACTTGCAAGATCGATCAGATTGATCTCAGGACACGAGTGTCTTTATTGATCCTTTAACTTGATTGTTGTGTTTGAACATGTTTTGTATATGAAGACAAATGGCTTTGAATGTCGAATTAAAATGCATATAAAGTGAAAGTAAAATTACTTCTAACTTAAAATAGTAAAAGACTTAAGTAAAGGTTATTGGAAATTCTGCAAAAGTAAATGCACTTATATTTAAATGGGTGTATCATACGTACATCCTCAATAAACTCGTTTCTCTTTGACACTTGGTACTTTGAGTAATTTCTGAGTAATTTGTACAAAGATGTTCACCATCACTAAATCGGAATACTAAGATCAATATTTATACTACTTCGACCCTAACAGTCTTCTACATGAATCAATGCCACATTTCTGTTTGCATGTCTTCGACGAATTGAAAGCCTTCCACGCGTCCTTTCGGATAAAACCAAAATATTTGAATTCGAATCTCCTTCTTATCCTGAACGCCAATCTCTGAAGATGGTCGAAAAATGTTTGAAACCTTAGCCATATTTCGAATACAATCTTCATTCAATAATTCGAACTGGTAAACTTTCCCAACGAATTTTACCCAATTCGAATCTCAACCTTTATGTATTCACATAAATAAAATAGTGGAATATTCTTAAGTACATTCGAGTCTAACTTAAAAAACCTTTAGTCGAAATTTCCAGCTAACAGTCTCGTGATGGAGAACGCAGTTTGGATGGGGACCGACTCCTCAGATGGTCGGACATCCTCCTCTACTTCCCTTGTTTCACGAGCATCTCAACGAGGGGCATCGACGCGCCAATATTTCCCGAGTCTCCCCCCTTTTATGAGGGTCTCGATGGTGTCCTTGAGATGGACATAATCTTCGGTCAAGTGCCTGTGGCTCCGGTGATACTGGCAGTACTTGCTTCGATCTACCCCGGGTTTAGCAGGAGCGGGGCGAGGACGCTTGACGCCGCCGTCCTTGAAATCTGTATTCGCGCACTCTGCTAAGATGCGCTCGCGAGAAGCCATTAGCGGAGTATACTCAGTGAACCTCCCCGAGGGTCCCCTTTGTTTCCGGGCATCTCGGGGTTTGTCGTCCCTTCTCTTCTCGCCACTTCGTCAAGGAGGGGTGGTGTCTTATCGCGGATGACTGGTACGCAATTCCTGGGATCCCGGGCTCTGTTGGCCGCTTCTCTCCCCTCATAGTCCATATAGGCTCTGGCCTTCTCGAGGAGGGCATTGAATGTCCGGGGTGGCTCGATGCCTACAACCTTTCTGAATTCCGTGCCCGGGAGGAGTCCCCTCTCGAGCAGGTATCTCTTCATGTGTTCCATATAGAGGACCTGGATGGCCTCCCGATTGAACCGGTCAATAAATTCCCTCGGGGTTTCATCGTGTCTCTGGATGATGGCCTCAAGGGCTACTTCGGTCTTTAGGTGTCGTCGCGAAGCAGCGAATGAACTGATGAATTTGTTCTTCAGATTTCACAAAGAGGTAATTGAATCCGGGGCGAGACCTTTGTACCAGTCCATCGCAGCTTTCCTCAGAGTCATGGGGAACAACCGGCATTTCATCGGTCCCCCGTCATTGTGATAGTGTAGCATGGCTTCAAACCCGTCTATATGGTCGACCGGGTCGGCGATGCCGTCGTATTCCTTTAGGTGGGGAGGCTTCTCCATGCCCGGGGGAATGGGTGCCTCCATGATAGTTTGTGACAAGGGACCGCGAGGGTCGTCCTCGTCACTCCGTTCGGGCGAGCGAGACGGAGATTTGATGTACTGGCGGTCACGGTGGCCCTGGTTGCGCGGAGCGGTCCTCAGGCGGTATGACTGTTGGTGGTTTCCCCCGTTTCTGTCTCCAGGGGGTCTTCGTTCTTGACGCGAGGGGCCGTGATCGCGCCTTCTCGCATCAACGGGATGTTCCCTTTCTAAGGCGGGCCGTCGGCCGATTGGTCGGGGAGACGGGCTTCGAGAGATGTCCCGACTACGTCTCCGCGGGGGAGATTGGGGATGTTCCTCTGCTTGTCGAGGAGGAGGAGATTGAGGTCTTCTGTGTCTTCTTGGAGGTCTCCGATCGTCTTCGAGCGCCCTCAGTCTTTCTCCCTGGGCGAAGATCAGATAATTAGTCTGATTTATTGCCGCGAACAGTGCCCTGGTCGTGGCATCTGCCCCGACGGGGATGGGGACCTCGTGGAACTGGACGTGTTGGTAGTTCTGGGGAGGTGGTCGGTCATCTTCAAGTCGACGAGGCAGTGATGATGACAGAGCAGTTGCTTCGTCTCTATAGTTAGAAGGCCCAGGCATATTAACACCGGGGGCTGTGCTATGGCCGGCAGTACCAGCGTTGTCGAGGCCGACATTGTTGTCGGCGGTGTTGTTGTTGACGTTGATGATTCAGACGTTCATGTTGTTTGGAGTCTGGTCAGCCATGACAGTCGGGGATTGTTTAGCTTTGGTCTCAAGTGAAAGGAAGATGGGGAAGCAAGGTTCCCACAGACAACACCACTGATCTTACCAGATCAGAAATGGACCGTCACAGCTGGCTCGGGCAGAAGTTGAATGAGATGGGGGGTGCCTGCAAGACACTCTGATGGCAAAGTAAGTTGCGGAATGAGCAAGCAAGTATGAGTTTAGAGAGATGAATTGAATACCGGATCCTCTTAGGAGAGAGTGTATTTATAGCCCCCAATGCTGGGCCAAAGTTCCCACTCTTGGGCCACGTCGAGGCTCAATAACAGAAACTACCAGGGCTTACGTGTGCATGGAGTCCAGCAAGTGGATTTTCTTGTCAACTGCTCCGCGAGAATAGGGTTGGACTCGTGATTTTCGGAGGACAGTTTAAGATGACTATCGTGGGATCGTGGACCACGTCCTCCAACAGTCGGATAGGGAGTTGCCCAACGGTCTCTAACTTAGGTTGTCTTTAGACTTCCCGTTCGAAGGACAAGTGTAGGCCCAATCCAGAACAGTACACTAATGTTATAATTCTAATGAATGATGTGTAAAACTAGCACTAACAGTACACTATCTTTAATCTCAATTAAGAATAATTTATTTAATTTTATTTTAATGTTATTAAATAAATTAAAATATTTTTAGATTATCAATAGAATATATATATATATATATATATATATATATATATATATATATATATATATATATATATATATATATATATATATATATATATATATATATATTAAACTGACAATAAGTTACACCGCTTTTAAAATATATTTAATCATGGATATTAAATATTGAAAAAAGTTTGACTTTTATTTTCACCATATACAAAGTAATACAAATTGATAATAGATTTTATAAAACTTTTTATACAACAGTTCATAGTAACTAATCATTAAAATTTGTATTAAAATTTTACATGTAATTAAACATCACCTATGATGCTAAACATTCACATCTTGAGCTTAATGTTTTGGCAATGAGTCATTGATGAATTCAATTTGTATATCATAATAAAAAATGCAACCATTATAAAAAAAAAACTATTTAAAATAAATTGAAGTTGGCTCTTAAATCTCTTTAAAACCACGATAACCGAGAGAATATCGCATTCAACGTTCAAATAACCACCTCCAACTCAATGACAGTAATGGCCAAACCAGCAATGTTTGCCATAGTCAAATTCCTCTTCCTCACCATAACCTCTACTATGAATCCACCACAACAAATTACTCATTGAGTTACCATCATCAAAGCCTTTCAATCCTCTAACCTTTACCAATGCACTTTCTTTATCATAAATCCCTTCCATAGCATACATAAAACCTTTCCACCCTTCTCCAACACCTTTCCTATTCAAATTTGGCAAAGTCCACTCCACAAGCTCCTTCACATAACCAACATCTGAGAACAACGCCTCCGTAATCGGCAACAACGGTAAAACCTGAATACCAAGCCTACATTCTCTCCATTGAGAAGGTGCAAACCATAGTCCACTATCTCTCTTATTAGACCAAACAACACTCACCACTTTGTTCTCTTTGGAAAATTCTTCAACATAGAGTTTGTCTCCTCCTTTTACATGCCACCACATTTGAGCGCCATGGATTTCGAGCGCTGCAAGTGTTGATCCAGTTGCGATGAGTTGCGTGTCACCGTACGCCATTCCCATCAACGCTGCAGCATAGTATGCATTCACAGCTTCACTAGTACTCTCTTGATTTCTTCCGTCTGCAAATTCGATTAACCCTCCAGCCCAAGAATGAAACTTGTACAGATCGAAACATCTTAAACGCGTATAATTTGAGTTTGATGATGATTTTCTTCCTAAGTTCATGAAATCTGCCATGAGTGAATAGGCTTGAGGTTTATATTTCCTTCCCCAAGCTGGATCAATCTTAGCAAGCACTGCGATTCCGTAGAGAAAGTATCCCAAATGATAATGATGATCGTTATAAATACCAAATCCAAAATCTGCACCGGAATCAGTAGAACCTTGTTTCGTAACAATTCCTCCCCATTTACCATCATAGAGAAAACTATTTCCTTTAAAAGTTCCGTTCAACCACGGCTCGATCGTCTCTTTTAAGAACATCTTGATAGCTGGTATGGAATCACGGTCATTCACTTCTTCAGCTATCAACGCCAACCTTGCTGCTCTTGCTATCGATTTTCCATAAAAATAGCATGATGTTGTTGTGGCTGTTCCTAAGGGACTTAAAGCATCTACGTCGTCAGAAAGTGCTGAGCAAATTTCCTCATGGAATTCTTCATTGATACCTTTTGTTGAATGCCATGTAACAGAAACAGGATGAGTTTTCAATTGCCATGAGTCTCCAACAACACCAACGAGCTCGCCATCGATGCTTCTATACTTCAAATCATGAAGCACCGTTACATCACACTCATCAGTTGTAGCTAAAAGTTGAAGATGAACTGGATGAGCAAGGATTAACAACTCTCCCCAACCTTTCTTCTCCCACTTATATTCGACGCAGAATGGTTTTGTGAATGTTGCATCACCAGAAGTAGGGTAACAAGAACAGAACCGGTTGAGGATTACCTCGTACTTAGGATCAGAATCAGGCAATACTGCCATCCTTATTATGCCGGAATAGCCCTCTGACGTAATTTCAGAAAGGCTATGATTGAATGTGCTAGGGGAGGATGTGTATATGAGCCATGTTTGTCCATTGCTGAGCTTCAAGGTGTGCTTGGTTAGGGAGTTATTTGACGAGAATGAAAGGATGGAATGAATGGTGGTGATGGAAATTGGCGTGTGGCTGGTCACCGAAGCTGTCACGAAAGGGCTTCCTCTTACAAGGAAGAACCGTAGGTTAGACGAGGGAATGTCCAAAGTGACACTGAGATCACTAAAGGAGGAGATCAGATGGTTTTGATGTGAATCTTGGTTGGTTTTTGTGGAGGCGGAAATGGTGATATCAGGGTTGAAGATTTGGGTCATGAAAGAAGAGTTGGAGTTGCAAGAAGGGTAGGAGAGGGAGAGGGAGGAGTTTGAGGATTTGATGAGGTAAGGGTGAATATACTCAGGCGTGTCTCCATTTTTTAGAACAAAGTTTTGGAAGAAAGAGTTTGTAGGGAGTGGTGACGAGAGAAGGTTTGGAGAGAAGAAGTTTGAAGGGTCTGGGAGAACTGTGGAGTGGACTTGAGGGAAGAGAAAAGGAGTATTTGTTGGTTTCTTTGGAGGAGGAGGAGGTGGAGGTGGAGGAGGAGGTGGTTGTTGTGGTGGTGGTGATGGAGGAGGAGGAGGAGGAGGAGGAGGAGGAGGAGGTGGTGGTGGTGGAGGTGGTGGCGGAGGAGGAGGTAGAAGGGTTGGTCTTGGTCTTGGCCGTTGTTTACCTTTCAAAGTTCTACCGAGTTTTTTCAGCATAGTGAGTTTGGATATGACAAGTAGTTTGGATTTGGATGTGACAGTTAAAGTTAGTTGGAGACAAATAGAAAGGTTGGTTATTGTGTTTTATATTGAAGATAAAAGTTAAGTATAAAAGAAAAGAATTTGGAATTGTATGAAGAAAGGAATTGATTGAACAAAATGCAAGGATCTTTATGAGTTGTGCATTTCACAACAAAAACATGGAAAAAAACAATCCTAAGAAAAAGAATCTAAGAAAGAAAATCTGTTTCTGTACTTGAATGTTCAAGGAAGAGATGACATGAAGAAGCTCTTTAGAATATTATGAGGTAACTTTTTTGAAGAAAGATCTCTATTTGTAGTTTTAAGAATGTTCTTTTCTTATTCTTCCCATTTTTATGGAAAAGTTAACTTTCAAATATTCTATAAACATCCTCATCTTTTATTCCTTGTGTGCTTCTGCAAAAAATCATCATCAAATCTTCTTTTTTAAAAATAGATTTAATGCAAAATTTATTATTTGAAAATTTCAAACTTTTATTGAGTGGCTTGTGGCACAATATATAAAAAAACAGTACTGGATTGAAGCCAGGATCTAGTTCACAGACAAATATTGTCTGATTTAGTGCACAAAGCATCCGAGCTATATCAAAACATGGATACCGGACACAACCTTGACACGTTAACACTGATAACCACATGCGTCGGTGTCACGTAGGAGTGTTAGAAACCAAACAGACCTTCAACTTGAAGTGTGGGTGCTCCGGAAATTATATTTTAGGATTTTGGATCATGTAGTATATGTTTTCTTGTTAAAATATCATTGATGCAATGTCTCACCAATTTCACAGATGACTGATACATGATGCTAATACATGACTTCCATTATAAAAAACCTCTACATGTTTCTGTAATTCTGGTTTTAGTGTGTCTGTCAACTCTGAAAAAAGGTGTGTTTGTGTCAATGTCGGTATCCGAAACTGACACCAACACTGGTAATTACTTTTAACTTGTTCAATTTTTTCAAATTATCACCGGAGTCACCGTGTTAGTCTAGGAGTTATGTTTCCGATGTCCGTGCTTCGTAGACTTTTAGTTACTACTATAATTTTTTTTATATAATTGTTGTCAATGACTTCAGATTGCCAATCGACTCGTGGTTGGTTACCTTTACTCTTAAATTGCAAATGCCAAAAAGTTTAAAGCACTCAAAATGAATTCAACAGCAAACACATCACACTTTATTCACAATGAAATAATAAGAAACCAACATCTGTTGACTACATAAATAAGAACAATGCATGACTTTTATTATAACTTATTTCAGCTAAAATATTCGAAATCATTAAACAATACATAAATCCTAATGACAGTAATGACCAAACCAGCAATGTTTTCCATGATGACCAAACTCCTCATCTTCATTACCTCTACTATGAATCCACCACAAGAGATTTGTCAATGAGTTTCCATCATCAAAACCATTCAGGCTTCTTATCTTCTCCAAACCACTTTCATTATCATAAATTCCTTGCAATGCATACACAAACCCTTTCCATCCTTCTCCAACACCTTCCCTATTCAAAGCAGGCAATGTCCACTCCACAAGCTGCCTCACAAAATCGACATTTGAAAACAGAATTTCAGAAATAGGAAGCAACGGTAAGAGTTGAATCCCGAGCCTACATTCTTTCCATGCAGCAGGTGCAAACCACAATCCATTGTCTCTCTTATTAGCCCAAAGAACACCAACAACCTTATTCTCTTTCTCAAAATCTTCGTCGTAAACATTATCGCCACTCTTTACATGCCACCACGTTTGAGCTGCATGAATTTCCAACGATGTAAGCGTCGATCCAATTGCAACGAGGTGAGTGTCACCGTATGCCAAACCCATTAAAGCTGCTGAATAATACGCATTCACAGCTTCACTAGTACTCTCCTGGTTTCTTCCATCTCCAAACTCAGTTAACCCTCCTGCCCATGAATGCAATTTAAAAAGATCGAAACACCTTAAACGCGTGTAATTCGAGTTCGGATTTCTACTCAAGGTCATAAAATCTGCCATGAGTGAATAAGCTTGAGGCTTATACTTTCTCCCCCAAATTGGATCAATCTTTGCAAGCACTGCAATTCCATAGAGAAAGTATCCTAAATGATAATGATGATCATTATAAATTCCGAATCCAAAATCAGCACCGGTATCAGTAGACCCTTGTTTGGTTATAATACCTCCCCATTTTTTATCATAAAGAAAACCATTTCCATTAAAAGTTCCATTAAGCCAAGGCTCAATGGTTTCCTTCAAAAACTTTCTTATTTTCGGAATCACATCAAGGAAACAAACCTCTTCAGCTATCAATGCTAACCTCGCAGCCCTAGCAATCAATTTACCATAAAAGTAAGACGAGTTTGTTGCTATTGCAGAAGCATTCAAATCTTCAACATCTCTCAAAAGAACCGAAACAATTTCATCATGAGATTCTTCTCTAACACCCTTGGTAGAATGCCAAGTTACAGAAACAGGATCAGTTTTCAAAATCCAAGAATCACCAACAACACCAACAAGGTCTCCATCAATGCTTTTATACTTAAAATCATTCAAAACAGTAACATTATTATAACCATTCTCAGATAAAAGCTGAAGATGAAGAGGGTGTGCTAACAATAACAAATCACCCCAACCTCTATTCTCCCATTTATACTCAACACAAAATGGTTTTGCAAAAACAGCATCACCACACAGAGGGTAACAAGAGCTAAACCTGTCAAGAATATCCTCATGCCTCAAATCAGAATCAGGCAACAAAGCAATCCGTATTATGCCAGAAAATGGTTCAGAAGTGATATCAGAAACACCGTGACTCAATCTAATAGGTGAAGAAGCATACAGAATCCATGTTTGACCATTGTTAAAGTTGAAAGTATGTTTTGTAAGAGAATCATTGGAAGAAAAAGAGAGAATGGCATGGATTGTAGTGATTGAAAGAGGGGTTGGTTGTGTCACAGAGAAAGTCAAAAAGGGACTTCCCCTAACAAGAAAAAAACGCAGATTTGAAGAAGGGATATCCAAAGTAACACTGAGATCATTGTAAGAAGAGATTCTATGATTGATATTTGAATAAAGATCAGATTTTTCTCTGGAGGAGATAGTTAGATCAGGATTGAAAACCTGGTATATGAAGGAAGAGTTGGAGAAACGAGATGGGTATGAAACAGAAAGTGATGAGTTTGATGATTTGATGAGATATGGATGAATGTATTCAGGTTGGTCGCCATTTTTGAGAACAAAGTTTTGGAAGAAAGAGTTTGTGGGGAGGGGTGTGGATAGCAGATTTGGGGAGAAGAAGTTGGAAGGGTCAGGGAGAACAGATGAGTGAGTGTGCGGGAATTGAAAAGGTTTGTTTTTGATGATTTGATGATGCATTGTTGAAGATGGTGATTGAAATGGTGGTGATTGGAATGGTGGTGATGGTGGTAGTGTTAATTGTGGTGGTTGTTGTGTTGACGAGGTTTCGGTTTCATAGGTTTTATAGGGTTTGGATTTGGAAGGTTTTGGTTTTTTCAACCCTCTTATGCTAAGGGTTGTGTTTAATCTGTGTTTTAGTTTTTTCAACATTTGGTTATGAGATTGTTGACTATAATGTTGGGTTTGGTGACACGAAAGTGTGTGTTGTTGCTTGGTGTTACACTAGATGACAAAAATATTAAATCATAGTAGAAAATATTTCAATCTTATGTTAATGTTCAATGAAAATATGGTTACCTTATCAAATTTATTATTGGTAAATAGTAGAGTGAAGTTGTGGGGTTTAGCGATAGTTGATTACTCGATAAGAAATTTGTTTATCTGAAATATCGTGAGTTAAATTTCTATCTTTGATGAAATGAAATATTTCTGATATCTCTTGATTCACAAATCAAACTGTTTTATTGAAACATGATTGTTTTTTATTTTTGAAGAAAGATTTTAGAATAGTTTATAGGGTTGGTGGGAAGATGATGAGGGGACTATGTTTTTTTTAGGGTTGGGGTGGGGGCTTGAATTTGATGAATGTGATTAGGAAGGTGGGGTTGTGGTGTAGGAGTAAAGAAGATTGGATTGAATGGTTTGGTTGAAGTTGAAGAAAGAGATATCTTAGGCCAACAAGGTATGTGAATGTGACCATTTCAAGAAAGACATCAATTTTCGGATATGAAGTTGCAAGGAAGGGATGGCATGATGATGAGTAGTTAGAATTTTTGTAGATGTGACTTGTCTAAGTGAGAAAACATGAGGAAAGAAAATCTATGGAACATTTGTTACTTAAGGAATCAAGATCTAAGGAAAGGAAATTGGATTTTGTCCTACACGCGGTTTGAGATAGTAGTATTTTTATTCTATTGTAAAGAGCTATTACTATCTCCACTTACACACACAAAATTCTCACACACAATTTTTTTATTTGTGATTTTATTTAACAGAAAGAGAGATCACACAAACATACTATTAAATTATTTTCATAGTAATAGTTTGTTATATGTTGGTAATTTGTAAGTGATTTTAAAATTATTTTATAACAATACTATTTAAAAAATACTTTTTTCAAAACTATTTCAAAAATAAATTTTTAAAATGGGTGCATATTTATTAACACCTTAATAAAAGCTTATATATCATTTTTGTTGAAAACAAATATCCAAAGTTAAATTTTTGAATCCAACATATAATTATTAAGAGGTTGTCTTTGATTGTTAAAAATATTATTTTTATGTGTTCTTTAATATTATTTTTGAGATAGTCTCATGAGGAGTTTTTTTTTTTTGGTAAGAAAGAGGCCTAAGCCCAAAGATAAGGGGAGCTTTTTATTCTATGTTGTTTTATCTTCTACAAAAATTTTAAAAAATCTAATTAATATTGTTGGAGGATTTTTTTTAAAGATAATGTGTAAGTATGTATTTCTATAAGTATTCTTTTTTAAAGGATTTTTTTCTTCTCTATAGTTTTTTTAGCGCACCACACAAAATTTCAAAAATATTTCTTAAAATCGAAAATATATTTCTGGTACGTACTTTGTCATACATAAATTGTATAAAAAATTTGGATGCAAATCAAAAATATATTTACGGTTGCAGTCGGATGTATATTTTCGATTTGTGTTGAGACTTAAAGTCACATTGCCTTTTCCCCTCCCTTTGTAGCATAAATTTATTTCAAAAAAGAAAAACAAAACACACAAACTCATTCCTCTCAAACACCACTGTTACAAAATCAAACCACTTTGCAAAAAAGTCGTCATGAATCGTCAAGCATCAGTTAACTTAAGTGTTCAATAATATTCAATCAAGAAAATTTATCAATTATAAGTTGTTTTTTGAGTTTTTTAGACTTTATGTAATTTCTACTCAAATTTGTGATTTAGGTTAGAAAATGTGATTTTGTTGTGTGCTTCCAATATTAGGATTTATTAGAAATGTGTTGGAAGTCTCATTTTTATGATCATTGACCTTTTGTTGGAGGTTATTTGGGGTTGTGCTTCACCATTGATGAAGCTCTGAAATTGCAGGTCGTACCATAAATGTATTTTCAATTTTCATTTTAACGTCGAACAAAACTGAAAATGCATTTCCGGTTTTAGTTTGTTCCTATTTTTCCCTTTGTGATACGGTGGGAGAACTGACTTGAGGTTTTGCGTTTGTTTTCGCAAATGTTTCGGTTGAGCAAGAGTCGCCACCGACTTTTTATTTTATCCTAAGGAAAGGTTAAAAAGCACAGCAAAAACCTTTGAGATGTTTTCTTGGGTTCGGGGAGTAGATTATAGAAAGGGAAGGTATTAGCACCCTTTCTATCCATGGTTATCCATGGGCTCTTAGTTACTTGCTTAGATCAACTTGCCTTGATTTTCAATTGTTTGAAATGGTGCTTTGTGTGTGGGTTTTGAAAATGTTTTGAAAAGAGGCCAATGTGGTGGCAACCTTTGTAATGACCCATGTTTGGATGTATACAAAAGTGTATGTCTTTTGAAAAAGTTTTCAATGTTTTTGAAAGTTGTTTTGAAAGTGTTGTGGAAGGTGATTTTGAAAAGATAGACAAGTGTTTTTGTTTTTGCAAGTTTGGCAAGCAACCAAGAGTTGTCTACTCCTAATTTTACTCAAAGATCTTTGCTATGTTTTTAACCCTTTTAACAATTTTGTTCCACCATTGTATTTGGTGGACAATCTTGTGTTAGGATGTGAATGGGACGGGCGCGGGTCATCGTTTAGACCATGATTGCAATGGTGCCAAGTATCTTTGGGCAATTTTTCTTTTAAGAGACTTGATCATTTTTAGGCAACTTTCGAAAGCGTCATCGAGGGACTATGATCATTTGAATTTGTTTTGGTTTTGCCAAAGATACCTAACATGCAATATGGCCCATTATTGAAGGCAGCAAGTGGAATACCCTAGGGGTGCAAGTGTGATTAGTGTTGTCCATTTTCATGCTTGTTTATCTTGAATTTAGGTCAAACTATTTGTTGGTTGATTTTGGCATACAAACCCTAATTCTATCATGGTATAATTAGAAAGCTTTTAAAGTGCGAAATTTAAAGGTCCTAAGTTATTACAACACAAATATGGGATGTGGGGTACAAATATTCAAATGGGGATATTTAGCAAGAAATTTAAATCTAAATATTACATCCAAATTGAAATTTTACAAGGTATTTAATTGCACAATAATAAAATAAAATAAAATAAATATGCAGGATGCAAAAATGATTTTCATATGTGTTGTACCCCAAAATTTGCCCTCCCATATTTCCCAAAACATTTCAAGAAAAATTCACAAGTCCAACCCGGCGCGTCATATTCAGGTGTTATTTCGCCAAGATATCTCTGATAACGTATTCTCAAATTCAGGTTCGGCTCAAGAGTCAATTCTTTAAAGAAGGTATTCGAATGTGTGAGTTTTCTCGAAGAAATATGGTGAAAAAAGTGTGCTGAAAGTGCAGTTTTTACGCGCTAAAAAATTCATAACTTGAAGATCGTGACTCGTTTTGAACCCATTCCGGTGGCCAAAATTCCGTCTTGATATTATCTATGTTTTCATCTCTCACGGCTGGAAGCCAATTTCAATCAGAAAGTCTTCAAAAATATGGATTTATCAAGTATTTTCGTACAAAAAATTTGTGACCGAAGTTTATTTGCATCATGTTCAGAAAATCATAACTTGGTCGATTTTCATCGTATCGAGCTGGTTCGGCGCCAAAATTTCACAAATTGAGTTGGCTACATTTTCACATAAGGTATTGAGTTCAAACGGTATTTAAAAGGCCTTCGTTTTTTACTCAGAGTACGTGACACGCCGAAAATCCTGAATGCTGAATATTATTTCATTTGGGCCGAAACTTCGAAAATTCATAACTCGGTCAATTTTTATCGGATTGGGCTCATATTTTTACACAAGGTCACTGACTCATAGATCTACAACTTTGCTTCAAAAGTCGAGACCGGATTATGCTCCGATCAATACCAGTTTTTTATTGAAGAACGTGTCAGAGTCGACACTGGAGTCCAAAATAAGTTTGTCTGAGCTGAAACTTCAAAAATTCATAACTAATTCACCGTTTATCCGATTGAGCCGATTTTCGGACAGGAGTCAGTTATCGATGTCGGCTACATTTTGTTTTCACATTTCAACTTCAAAAATTGCACTTAAGTCCCTGCGATTTAGCCTGGAAAGTGACGAACTCAAGTGAACATTGGAGGCCCAATTGCACATTCAAAGCCCATTTTCTTTATCCTAATTTCCATTATATAATCACCTTATTTTCACACAAACCAGAGAGGAGAAAAAAGAGAAAAAAAAACTTTGCCACAACACTGTTAGAATATCAAATTCTTTCAAGAACCCTAAAACCTTGAAATCCTTATTATAAATCCCTCTCTCACTACAAACAAGTCATCTCAGTTACAAACCAACATCTCACTACTTTTCCAGTAAGGGTAAGATTGATTTGATCTCCATGATCAAAAGGGTATAATCATTCATACATGCCATATTGTGCCTAAACATTAAATTTCTTCATATATTGGTTTTATTTGCATTTTATGATTTTATTTAATGTGTTCATGAAATTCAACACTGCAGATTTTAGATAGGATCCCATGTAGGTTCATTAAGGAACGTTGAGGCCAAAACACAAATGGTCAAAAGCCAAAAGCCAAATGGCCAAAACAGAACGGCTTACACATGACACCAATACATGGCGAGACAGACATCTTGAGAAGGTTAAGGAACGTTGAGGCCAGAACACAAATGGCCAAAAGCCAAAACACAAATGGCCAAAACAAAACAGTTTACACATGACGCCAATAACTATTTCACCCCTCCAATCAGGCTCGTATACTCCTAAACTATCCCTCTCTATTTGTATTATGTTCCTTTAATTAATTAATCGTTATTATTTTTATTAATCACTAACCAATTAACATTTTTTCCTAATAAAATCAAAAACACAAAAAAAATATTTTATTTATTAAAATTAACTTCATCACTTTTATTTTTGTAAATAAATTAATTTAATCAATTTAGCTTTAATTAGATTTAACTTTTAATATTTTTTGCAATATTTAAAATCAATTTAGAATATTAGGTT